AAAAAAAAAAAAAAAAAAAAACAGAGGAGGTGAAAAAAGCAAACTAAAAATGTACACTAACAGCTTACCACGTGTCTGTGACTTTGCCAAGTGCTTTCCATTTCTTTTCCCCCTTAGTGCCCACAACGACGCAAGGAGATCGCTACTTTTTGTGTTTCCGCTTTCTAGATGAAGACACTGAGGACTGGAGGAGCCCGGGATCCTGGCCAAGGTCAGACAGAATAACTGACATGCAAACCCAAGCCTTTCGAACACGGTCGATGTTTCTTAGAATTGTCGTCCAGAGCCCAGGAAATGGTTTACAAAAGCGCCCCCCACCCCCACCTGGAGGAGGCCCCTGGGCGGCCTCCAGAAAGCTGCCCGCCTTCCCCAAGAAGCTTCAACACCTTTGCCAAACACGTGTTCTTCCTGACACTGTGGAACTTGAACCCCGCTTTGAGCCAGAAGCCTGCACGGCCACCGCCCAGGGTGCAGGAGCCCACCCCGCCCGTCTTCCAGAAGAGACTTCTTCCAGAAGAGACTTCTCTTCCAGAGAGAGACTTCTTCTCTCCCCAGAAGAGACTTACCTTCCAGAAGGTAAGAAGAGACTTACCTTCTCCAGAGGAGAAGGTAACTGTCAGAGTAAGAAAGTTCTTCTGGTCCGAACCTCTCTCATTTTGTTTTTATTCATTTATTTTTTAGAGAGGCAGAGAGAAAGAGAGAATCCCAAGCAGGCTCCGCGCTGTCAGCACAGAACCCTGTGCTGGGCTCGATCTCACCAACCGTGAGATCGTGACCTGAGCCGAAATCAAGAGCCGGACGTTTAACCCACGAGCCACCCACGTGCCCCAACCTCTCCCATTATCTAGATGGGAACACCGAGTTCCAGAGGGAGTGTTCCAAAGGGCACGTGGAGAGGCTTGCCCAAGACTGAGCAGGGAGCTGGGGGCAGAACCCTAACAAATGCACAGGCTTCCTGGCTCCTGCCTTGGGTTCTTTCTGGGGCCCTCCCTGGGGCCTGCGGTTGGGGGAGCTTGTCTGTTTCGCACTCCCCGCCTCTCCTCCAGGGCTATGCTGCTGTAGCCGAGCTGTAGGAGTGAGTCAGCCATTAGAGCCTTCACTCGTCATTTATAAATGCAGATAACAACTCGGACCTCCTTCCTTAGGGA